TTTAGGCTCTCATCCCCTCTTCCCTGCACAACTGTATTAGCCTCCTAAGGGGTCTTCTGCTGCCTGGCCTCTCCCTGCTCCACTGATCTTTCTCCCAGCTGCCAGTGCATTCTTCTTGCTTTTTTTGTTTGTTTTTGGTGAGGCAATTGGGGTGAAGGGACTTGCCCAAAGTCACATAGCTACTGTTATGTGTCTGAGGCTGGATTTGAACTCGGGTCCTCCTGACTCCAGGACCAGTGCTCTATCCACTGCGCCACCCAGCTGCCCCCAGAGCATTCTTCTGCTATCAGTGGCATTCCCAAGGTGGATAGCTTCGAGAACCGGGAAAGGCTTGAAAAATAAAGGGGGTGGGGGGACTAGGGATGTCAAATACTCTATAAATTGTTGGACTCATTTGGGTGTGTTGGTTAGTTTTGCTGAAGTAAATATTTTTCTTCTCTTTTTTTCTTGGTTATCAGCTAGGTGGCACAATGAATAGAGCTCTGGGCCTTGAGACAGAAAGACCTGAATTCAAATCCAGCCTCAGACACCTACCAGCTGTTTATGATCCTGGACAAGTCACTTAACCTGTCTGCCTCAGTTTCCTCATCTGTAAAATGGAGATGATAATAATAGAACCTAACTCCCAGGGTTGTTCATGAGGACCAAATGAGATCATAATTGTAAGGCACTTTGTAAGCAATAGCTCACTGGGTAAGGTGGGGAGGAGGGATAGGTTGGGAATTGAAAGTTACATAAAAACAAGGTATCCATTTTTTAACGTTCTAGACTTGGGATATATTGGCGTACATAGGGGGAGAGGAGCTCCATTCCTATTGTGTTATGAGTTTCGCTTTCTAAGGGAAGGATCCCTCACCCAGAGAAGGCTGGATCACCATGCTTAGTAGGGCCTCAGAGCCCAATTATGTAAAGTTGGAGTGCCCCAGGACTACTCACCCACAACAGTTTTGCTGTTGGCCCCTCCTACCCTCGCCCCACGATTGCTTTCTTTGCCACTGGCTTTTTCCCATTGGTCCCTCCTATTTCCTTCTTGGTGAGCGATAACTACCATTTTCTTAACTCTAGGGCAAGCTTTATAAAACATGGCAGCAACCCTATCCTTCTCCCTAAATAACACCCTTAAGTCAACCTTTTGAGACAAACTCAATTGGGGGAAGGGCGCAGTGACCCCAAGATAATAAGGGCACTCTGCCTCAAAGGGGAAGGGAGGTGGTCACCAGGGGTGCAATAGCTGGAGAGAGGAAGTATGAACCATCTGGTAGCTTCCAATTTTAAGTAATAAAGTTCTGTTGTGTACAACTCAGTTTTCTTGGCAAAGATACTGGAGTGGTTTGCCATTTCCTTCTCCAGTTCATTTTACAGATGAGGAAATTGAGGCAAACAGGGTGAAGTGACTCGCCCAGAAGTCACACAGCTAGCAAGTGACCAAGGCCAGATTTGAACTCAGGAAGATGAGTCTTCCTTACTGCAGGCTTGTTGCTGTATCCAGTGAGCCACCTAGCTTCCCAATAAACTTTACAGCGAGCAACTGTACTCATCTGTCTGCAGCTAGAGTGCAGGTTCAGTTGGCACCTTCCAAGTCTTGGCAACCTGGGGCAAACCTCTTAGTTATAACTCTGCCCTCTACCAGACCTCTATCTTCTGGCAAAAATCTCCTAGTTCTTCTATCCCTGCCTTCATCACTACTCCTCACTCCTTGAAAGCCAGCTTCCGGACATCCCCACCTGTCTTCCAACAGTCCACAAAGTCCTCGTGCCAAATCCAAGGCCCTATTCTCACTCCTCATCCTCCTGACCCTTCTGCAGTTTTTAATACTGATGACAACCCCCTCCACCTAGACACTTCCAATCCCCTAGATGACTCACTCGGCTTTCCTCCTACCCCTCTGGCTGTTCCTTCTCTGCCTACTTCATTGAAATATGGAATCATATTAGTTTTGATACTTAGCTCTTCTCAGCAATGCAATGATCTAAGACTATTCCAAAAGACTCGAGATAGAAAATGCTATCCACTTTTTTTTCCTTTCTCATGGTTTTCCCCTTTTGTTCTGATCCTTCTTTCACAACATGACTAACGTGGAAATATGTTTAATATGATTGTACGTGTATAGCCTATATCAGATTGCTTACCATTTTGGGGAGGGAGAAAAAAAAATCTGGAACTTGAAATCTAATAAAAGTGAATGTTGAAAACTATCTTTACATGTAATTGATTTTTGTTTGTTTGTTTGCTTTTAGGCAATTAGGGTTAAGTGACTTGCCTAGGGTCACACAGCTAGTAAATGTTAAGTGTTTGGTCTGAGGCTGGATTTGAACTCAGGTCCTCCTGACTTCAGTTTCTCTATCCACTGTACCACCTAGCTGCCCCCCTTTACGTGGTAATTGAAAAAAAATACTATTAAGTGGAAAAAAAATTTTAATTAATTTATTTTGATTTATCAACAATCACTTCCATAAGCTTTTGAGTTTTAAATTTGTCTCCCCCTTTCTCCCCAAGACAGCAGGCAATCTGATGTAGACTACACATTTCTATTATTTTCACATTAGTGACGTTGTAAGTAAGAATTAGAACCAATAGGAAGGACAACCAGAAAGAGGAAACAAAACACAACAGAAGGAAAAAAAATAGCAAATAGTATGCTTTGATCTGCATTCAAACTCCATAGTTCTTTCTCTGGATGTGGATAGCATTTTCCATCACGAGACCTTTGGAGATGTCTTAGATCCTTGTACTGCTGAGAAACATTAAGTCTATCAATATTAGTCATCGCACAATGTGGCTGTTACTGTGTACAACATTCTCCTGGTTCTGCTCACTTGATTCAGCATCAGTCCACCCAAGTCTTTCCAGGTTTTTCTAAAGGAAAAAAAATTAAAAAAAAATATATACAGAATCCTAGATTTGCATTGGGGAAAAGCTACCTTAGAGATTACCTGGACCAATCTTACCCTGTTACACATGAGGAAATCTGAAGGGCCAAATGGGAAGCAACTTGATCAGAGCCAAAAAGCCAGAATCAGGAGGCCAGCCTCTGACTACAAAGCTGATGCTCTCTGCAGCCTACCACACCCAGTCCTAATCTTCTTCCTTGCCCCTTAATGGGGTTGCTTCCCTATGGGGCCTGCTATTGGCCTCCTCTCTGCACATTCTATCTGGTCCTATCCCTTTTCTCCTCCCCCAACTCTAGACCCACGTCCCACTAGTACCTCAAATTCAACACGTCCAAAATGGCGCTCATATCTTTCCCCTTACACAAAGAAGCTTGTCCTCATGACTTCCCTATTGCCACTGATGCCACCATCCTCCCTATCACCCAGGCTCAAAAAACTGCCATCTTCTGACTCATTCCTCCCCCACACTCCCCACATCTAATCACTTCCATTTACCTCCATACTACTCAGACCCATCCTCTTTTCCTGGTCCCACTCTCATGGCCCTCCCTATTCCCTTTCACCTGTATGGGTCTCCCTGCCCTGAGCTTTGCCCTTCTCCCCTTGGAGCCAAAGTGAGTCTCCTAATGCTTAGGAAAATGCCTTAGGACACTGTCCCCACAGGACTATAGACCCAGAGCTGGATGGGGCCTTAGAGGGCATTTAGCCCAACCCCTTCATCGTATAGATAAGGAAACCTCACCCGAGATGGGGAAGTGAATTGGCTCAGTTCACTCGAGGGCAGGGGCCATCTTGTTCTTAATCTTCGTAGCCGGAGAATGTTAGCAAAGACCACACTTTACAAATATCTGGGAGGTCATGACACACCCATTGCCCAAGACATATTATCTGAGGGTCTGCCTTACCCCTCTCCCCAGTGAAAGGACAGGACCAAGGTGTTGTTATGAACCTGGGGCAGAAGGGAAGGGAAGTTGTGGCAGCACGTGGGAATGAGTGGCCATCCAGGGCAGGGTGTCTTAACCTTTTCTATGCCCCAGACCCCTCTGATGGTCAGCCTGGTAAAGCTTATGGACCTCTCGGATTACAAAGGAAACCAATTATGAAATAAAGAATGTAATTTGAAATGAAATAAAGATGTAATTTTTTTCCCATTGAAGTTTACAGAGCCCCAGAAAATCTACCCACAGACCCCCAAGTTAAGAGCCCCTAATCTAGGGGAAAATCCCTTACTTTCTTTATAATGAGTCCATAGATCCCCAAAAGAGGGACACCAGTGGCCAGCACCACCACGCATCCAGGAGTTCATTGTCACCAGCCTAAACTACTGTCTTCCAACTCCCATGTCTTTCCCCTCCAATCTAACCTTCATACCCCAGCCAAAGCCCACATGATTAGAAAAGGAAGCAGGTCAGCCCAGCAGTGAGACTGAGGGATGACAGAGGGACATCTGAGCACGGGGCTGGAAGCCACAGAATGTGAAGAGAACTCGAGGAAGGCCACCAGACTGTCAGGCAGACGCTGCCTCAAACAGGAGGAGACGGGGACGAGGGCCACACGGACTAAGAAGGTGCTGATGGGCTGGGAACCTGGAGGGAATGCCCATGTCAGTGAGGTCACGGAGCCATCAAAGGATGCCGCATCTGGTCCCCTCGCTCCTCTGCTCCAATGGCGAAGCCTCACTGAAGTCAGGGCCTGCTATGAAGATCTGACGCAGGAAGAAGGTGACCCAGAGGGGGGGTGAGGTGAGGTTGGGAGTCCATGGGATTTTATTGCCTGTTGGGGAGGGGAGGGGATTACATCAAGCTGCTCCAAACTCAAGGCATGGGGATGTCCTCCAGCTTCTGGTCCAGACTTTTGAGGTCATCCAGGAACTGGGTGGGAGTGAGGACGTGGGAAGAACCTGACAGGCACAGAAAGACCAAGTGAAGCTTCCATGCTTTCTAGACTCAGGCAGCAGATGTCCAGCCCACCTCTCTCAAGGATCCAGCTGCTCGCCCCCTCCTCCCCGAGACTGTGTTTCTAGCCCCCACACCCTTCAGGGATCTGGGCATCCTGCCCCCAACTCTAACTCTCCAAAGGCCTCAGGCACCTGAGCCAGCCCCAACTCACCAATGAGCACCTCCCACTTTCCTTCAGTGGCCCGGGTCACCTCGTAGGCTGCCCGCATCTCAGACATAGCCACGCCACCCAGCATGTAAACCAGGAGTCGGGGCCCAGCCCGGGAAGACTCCACTGAAGTTTTGTTCTTGTGCCAGTGACCAAAGCGGGCGCTGAGGACAGAAAGGGACTACTGAGTCAGGGGAGGATCAAGCCCCCTCTCCCCACCCCCCGCCTATGGTTCACAAGGACCCCGCCTTGGCTGATGGCACATGACAGTCCCCCCAGACCTTACCTGACAGCAGTCTGGGAGCTGGAGGCGGGGGCAGGGTCAGATAAAAAGGGCCATAGTTTCCGGGCCAGCTTGTCCTCCACAGCGTCCTGGGGAGGGAGCACACACAGGCTCAGAGTGTCCCTTATCACCCCACCCCCTCCAGGGAGGCTCCTCTTGTTTTCCCCTCCCAGGGATCATGGATCAGATGCCAGGATAATGCCCATAATGAGGGATTTGCCATTAAGCCTAGCTGTGGCTTAGGGGCCAGGGGAGGTGGATGGAAGAGAGGTGGGGGTGTGGGAGGGTGGGGGGCTGGGAAAAGTCAGAGCAGGGAAATAGGGAAGCAGGAGGCCAGGGCTCAGGGAGGCTGGGGGAGGCCAGGAGGCAACTAATGATCACAGGATTAGTGCCCTCCCTCTCACCTCCATCACGTCCTTGATGACGGGTGTCCAGCGGGATAGTTGGTAAGTTGGCTCCAACCTCTCCTTTCGATCTCCTCGGGTAGGGGCCCCGGAGCCCTGGGGCGAGGGATGGAGGGGAGGGGGTCATGGACAGGGCCAGAAGGGGAGGGGAGGGCAGCACCTCCCCAGGCAGCAAAGCAGGCCAGGCTGGAAAGAAGAATAAGACAGACAGAAAGAGAGACAGAGAAAGACAAGAGGCTGAGCCCAGAGACAGTACAGAAGAGAGGGGAGAAATGGGAGAGGCTGAGGCTTCAAGAAGATGGGATGGAGTTAAGAATTTGTGAAGATCCCCACTACCGTGTCTCGATTTCTCCTACTCCCAGGCTGGCTTCCAGGGTGAGAGCTGACACACTGCCCCTACTCACACCAAGGAGAGTCCAGGAGGCTACAATGACTGCTGCCATCCTTCCTGACCCCGTACCGTGGCAACGGTGACTGTGGTCCCGAGCTGCTCCAGGTTTCGGATGAGGTTGCTGTGTGCCTGCACATTGGCATGTTGGATGAGCTTGGCCAGATTCTCCTCGGTCACTCCTGTGGGTGGGCACAGCACCCACACATGTATATAAGGCCGTGTTTAGACACATGACATGTCCCGGGGTACCCCGAGAAAAGGTCAGGGATTAATGAGGGTCAGTGGGCAGTGACTGAGGCCCCACCCCCTCCACCCCTCCCGTCCATGCTCATACCATTCCGCAGCAAGATATAGAGTAGGAGGATACGGATCTTGTCATACGGGGGGACCCCAGTGTCCAACAGCACGGGAACAATCAGCTTCATGGCATCCTTAATCTTCTCCCCTTCTGCATCTGTGCCCAAAGCCAGGTCCTGGGGAGCCGGGGCCGGAGGCAGGAGTTCAGCCACCACTGTGGGGCCCACATAGCCCAGGAGCCTCAGGATCCCTGGGCATTCCTTGAGCTCCTGCCCCTGAACTAAGCCTGGTACCCCTAGAGCCCTGAGCCTCCACATCCAGGTCCTAAGGCTTAGGAGATTTTATTAAGGGGATTTGCTCTGTGAAGTTTGGATTCAGTCAAAGGGCAGCACTTGAGGACCTAGAGGGCCACAGGGCCACATGTCACCCTGAGGCTGCAGGTACCCCATCCCTGTTAAGCTACACCCTGAACCCCCAAGAGCTGAGGGCCCTCCACCTGCTCGACACTGCAGAGTCTCTCCACGGTGCCCTTAAAGTGTTTCATGCAGTCATCGGCCAAGTTCAGGTGTGTCGAGTACTGCGAATTAAAGATCAAGCCTCATGGTGGGCACCGAAAACTCCACAACATAACCCAGCCCCTTCTTCCCTTGTTAGGCTTCTCCCTCTCCACAAAGCCTAAGCTCCAGCCCTGCTGGCCTTCCTCCAATGAAACGCTCCATCTCCCATCATCGTGGCCATCTCCCATGCTTGACGTGCTGTCCCTCCTCATCCCTGCCCACTTGTGTCCCCCCTACCCCAGCTTTCTTCAAGACTCAGTTCAAACTCCACCATTGGGAGGAAATTGTGCCAAGCTTCTCTCTCAGATCACCCTCCCTCTCCTCGTATGGAGCTGTTTACAAGCTGTCTCCCCTAATAGACTGTGAGCTCCTTGAGAAAAAAAACTATGTTTTGCCTTTCATCATATCCCTAGCACTTAGCATACAGTAAGAGCTTAATAAATACTTGATAAATGACTAGGTGGCAGAGAAGAAGCCAGCAGGAGTCTGGCCCAGGCCACAGGGAGCAAGCTGGGAAGAAGGTGGGATTCCTGGCCCCCTTACTCAAAGAGTGCTTCTGCCAGCTCAGGAGGGTCCCCTAAATACACCTGCCCAGTGGGCTCCAGGCTCCCCTCACCTTGTTCAGTTCCTTCTGATACTGGGGCATCTTTTTCAGGATGTGGGAGAGGTCTTTTATGTTTGCCTTGCAAGGAAGGAGAGGGAAGAGAACAGTGGGGCTCA